TCTCTCTCTCTCTCTCTCTCTCTCTCTCTCTCTCTCTCTCTCTCTCTGTCTCATGCACACTCTGTCTATGATACACATTAAAGAGACCGAGGCTCTGTGTCGCCCCGGCTGGAGCCTCAAAGGGGCACAGAGAGCCAAGCAAAGACACGGATACAGAGACTCCAGTTTAAACTGTATGTACACAACCTACTGTAGACCCTTCTCTGTACTCTGACATGCCTATGGGAGGACTGAGGGATCCTGGTCAACTACAATCAGTGGGGTGTGAGGGTTTGGGAAAGCCTTCAGGTTGAGTCTTTCTTGGGGTTTGGCGGGTTTTGATAAAAAGCTGGAGAATTTGGCTCCTGTGCCCATCCTTGATGTCCTCAGTGCATGTTGAAGGCATGTCGTCTTCATCGTCAGCTCGTCATTCTTCATCGTCAGTCTGCTCCATAGTGGACAGTTCGGGGCATGTGGAGTCCCTCAAAAGAAGCACTGTGAGGAGACGGAGGGAGGGAGGCAGTCAGGTTAGAACAGCAGGTGCTAATGTGTCGGTCGTTATTATCACATGATGACACGATATAGATGAGGCATCGCATGTACAAACATTGACACACAAAACAACAACAACAACGTGGCATATTTGTTATTACATTCATCTGTTGAATACATCAAAAGTTTTCAGTTGAAATAATTGAAAATATCAACATGTGTTATGAATAATTGTGTTCCAATTGACTGATTTCTCAAGATCTGTTATGGTCCCAGTCTGGGTTTATGTGCACAACATGCTTTATACAAAGTGATTCATTCTGAAAATCTACTGAGTGAGACTGCTGATGAATAAACAAAACAACTGGATCCCGGACAAATAAAGGTACATTTGTAACATTTATGCGCATAAAAATCGAATTGAACCATAACACAGTCATTTCCAAGCATTTGCAACATTAGTGGCCTAATATAATCAGGGACTTTAAAGGGAGAGATACCATGGGATAAAGCGTATGGAATAATCTCTGACATGGATATGTCTGCACAACTAATCAAATATTTAAGCAATTATGATTTGAGCTTCCCCACAATGAAATGAACATGATCGACTGCGATAATAGCGTTTTAAAATGCTTCACTCACAGAAACTCTGCATATCAACTCAAGCACTTCTTAAACTAGCAGCCAGCCACCAGGGGGCGATACAGATGTTTTGGCTTCGCTTATGAGGAGCTGTGATGCCACTGCACACTCAGCCTGCAGCGTAGAAGACTAATATACTGAATACAACTACCTTTAGCTTTATGATCCATAAACCTCTCTCATCTTTCTAATGATGCTAACACCACGAGGTAGTCTCAAGATAACAAGATTAGAAATATATGTATCAGGGTTCTCCTGACTCATAGAAAGCCTTTCTTAAGATCAGTCACTGATGGATGTTCCACAACATGCCTACAGAGTGAGAGGTGACGTTCCTTCTGGAGCTTCCAGTCGATAAACTAAAGAAATGCTTGTTTTCTTCGGGAGACGGCAAACCTCTAAATGTTTTCATCTTTAGTGAAGAGTTTAGATTTTAAGACAATGCTGAGGTTCTTTACAAGACTGCCAAAGACAGCACTTCAGAAATTGCCAAAATCCTACACACGGGGGCTTTAAAAAAATAAGAAGCTGCGTCAGCAACTGCTCCAAAATAAGAGGCCACCTCCTACAAAGTCTCTCATGTCCGTCCATGAACTACAAATAGTCACAAAGCCAGTGACATGGTGGATGACCCTCTCCCACATGCTGCGGTGCACGCAGCCTCTGAATAGCTTCCCTCCTGCCTGGAACAACACCAGAGGACTCTCAGGAACTCTCACCTCGATGAACTGTGTTACACTTTGCAGGTTTTAAACAAAGAAAAGAAAGAAGAGGTGTGAAGATGGCGAGTGTGAAGCCTTACAGGTTGTGTTGAAGCTCTCAGGTATTAGAACTGTCCGGCACTGCTGGGGTCGCACTGCAACAGGCGGACGATGGAGGGGTCGCTCTTGGCCCCTTTGATGAACTCCTCCAGAGACAGCTTACCTGAAACACACAACCCCAACAAATCAATGACAGATTTGATAACAGATGATTGTTCTCACAACCTCTATCGTTGCATCCTAACGATGTTCCACTTCTCGCCAACGGGTGGCGGTGTTGAGGCGGCTCCTCTCTCTCGCCCCAGTGAAAAGACTGGGTCTGCTGTCACTTTCTCTCTCTCTTTTTCTCTCCCTCTCCCTTTCTCTCGCCCTCTCTGCTCTTGTGCTACATCTTCTCCTCCTTCCCAGCACACTAATTCATCACCCCCGTCCATCTCTCTCCGTCATTCCTCCCATCTCAGGATCACCACTGGAGTGTTGTTGCTCTATGAATGGGCCCTCTGGGTGTCTGGGTGTCTACAGTACATTTGCGTATGACTAATATTGCTGGTGGTACGTGAGCTCTGCTGTCGATGGACTGCTGCTCTAGGCTGGAGGGCTCTACAAGTGGCTCTGTGACAATAATGACAGCTAACCAGGTGGCAGTGACAAGCTGTTCAATACATTTGCAACTAAAATGCCTGCTGTGTACCATTTCACTAAAACCAATAAATCCGTTTAATAGACCAAATTATATAATTTTCCTTTATTATAATATTGATGTTTTGGTAGAAGCAGCAAAAGGGAATTAAAAAAGCTTTGTATGTATCCAAGCATCTTCAAATACCTGCTGGTGTTTTCAGCCCAGCTTGATGTTTTGGAGTTACAGTTTTCTTGACTCAGAATGGAGTTGAAGCCCCCCCCACATGAAACAGCAGCGGACGCGCTGAGCCTACCGTCTCTGTTGGTGTCCATCTGCCGGAAGATCTTCTCCGTCCTCTTCTCGGGTGTCGACTCGTCCTCAGGCATCTTCATCACAGAGGACACCATCTTATAGATCGCCTACGGAGGGGACACAAGGGAGGACGCATCATCAACGACTGATCAGTGCATCTCTGAGCGGTTTATATTCTACACCAGCTGTAGCCTCTATCTGACTGGCTGTAACCACAGAGGTCATTCTCTATATTTGAATGCTGTATGTTGAACTCAAGGCTAGAGTGGATGAACCTCACTGGGGTCTAAGGAGGGAGATTCACGTGAACCTTTTCATCTTTAAAGCTATTCTTTAGAAACTCTTTCATTGCATCTGTAAAGAGCTTCTAACAGCTGATAATCAAGACCTGTTTAGATGGATGGTTTCTGAAAACCTACTTCTTACTCAGCAATGGTAGTCATACAGGAGCACACTGTTCTTCCACAGTTAGTTATTACTTCACATATGAGAGGTTCTGTATTTCATCTCGTCTGTGCTCTTACAACTGTTTTCAAGTGGTCTCAGTGGAAAAAGAGATGTCACCTACTTCCGTGCAATAATCCTGATTTAGCCAAATCTGATCAAAGCAGACCCACACACAGTGAGCTATGAAGCACATTGGCTCATACTAGACTCTCATAGATAGATAACAGCCGTATAAAGACGTTTAAGATAAACTTACACTTCTAAATGCTGCCGTCATGAATAATGGAAGAGTTTTAAACAGTCACGCCTCTCAGATCCTCTCTTAGTGTGCTGCTCTCATTACAGTGCTTCTATGCCAATCTCGGAACACATCGGCTATCGGTCTGACTGCTATTTAGCCTCGAGGGGCAACGGTCAGTGTTTGTGGGGTTCCGCTGTAGCCAGGGGACATCCAGATAACGGATACCTGGGCCAAGACTTCCTCTTCCCCGGGCCAGTCATTGTTTCCAGTCCAATAAGCAATTTGAGACGGGAGACTGGAGTTGGAGAGACAACGTCTATGAGCGGATTGTTTCACACGCAGTCAGTTTATTTTTTAGCGAATAAAAAAGCTAAATCATTACCAGACTCTCCATGCGCACCGTTTACCTGCTCAAACGTGATCGCTCAATACTACTCGGACTACAAGCGGAAACCAGAACACTTCTGGGACCAAACTCTTGTCCCGTTGTGTTCACATACAGATATCCGTTTATAGAGATTACTCGTATGCACACTATGACTGCATCAGGTCCAGACTAAGGATGCACTGATCCAACGCTTTCTCCCAACAACAAATATGTGCCGATGTAGAGTACTGATGCCGAGTACTGTCTTAGTATGTTTTATTTCCCAAGATTGTATAACCGGAGTGATAATACACATCTTGAATTTAACACCTAAGCTCATTTTTCCCACATGTAAGAAACCGCTGTGGGTTTCATCTGGATCATTCTCTGTGTTATGAGGTCAGGGATCACTCAGGCACTAAAAACTGAACCGACTGCCGACCATGACTTCATGAATGTGACTGATACCTGAAGAAGTGAAGTCTATGCTGTTAAAGAAAGAAGCTGTATCTAATATGGATCGGTCATAGCACCTCGTATCTGAGAGGTGCCTCCCTCTATAATATTTATAAAGACTAGATTTTGGTGGTTTAGGTGCGGTGGAGACGCACATACACAATCCCTCACACACTATTTATCAGTGTTGTGTCTCCCCTGCTCTCTGGAGCATCACAGTGTGTTTGGCAGTAAACAGTGAAATCACAGCCCACTCTCTCTGTCTCTAATAAGGAGGCGGGTTTGAGGGGAATGGGATCTGACATGTGAACAGAGGAGGGCTGATTGTGATTACGGTGCAGTGGGAGCTGTAAATAGGTGCCGGTTATGCCTCCTATTACACAGTAGCAGGGCTGCTCGGCTCTTGGGTCGGCGCGGAGCGGAGGAACCAGCAGCAGCCGCGGTTAATATACGTCTTCATTTCAGTTGTGATCTGGCTCTGTTATTAATCAAAACCCTTCAAACTGTTGGCAGCGTTTAGTACATTTAGCCAATATTACATGTTGGGGATTTAGCTGTTGGTCTAATCCAGAGCAACGCAGTGGAATGAGATTCAATTTCTAAATCCCCAAATTACAAGGAACCAATAAGAAGTGGAGCGATCTGCAGCTTAAAACCCTCTCAACATTCCCGACAGCTCGACCAAAGAGAGACGCTGGTATTCCTCTGTGCCATAGAGCTCCATCGTCGTCCACTAACCATTAAAAACACACCAGTGAGTCACACTGTTGCACTGGCTAACATGTTCCTTCATTAATGAACACACACACACACACACTCTAATAGTAAACCTACATACAGCGTCCTGCTGCCACCAGTACTCAGAGCATCAGATGTAAAGCCATTTTCACGAATTCAAAGTGGTTCCTTTGTTTAAGCTATATAACTGTGGACACTGATTCACAACACTATAGGAAGCAACCTAGTGGGGAGGATTTGTAAGTGCATTTAAAAACCATGACAACCAAGATGGCTGACGCTAGATCAGATGCAGAACTTCTCCTATGAATTATGTAGCCACTAAATTGGACACAATGCATCATATTTCAACTACAAATAATTACAATTTGAATATATATATATATATATATATATATATATATATATATATATATATA